GTCTCGCGGCAGTGTAGGTGGGTGGGCGTGTGTGTCGGGGGCCACCTCCAGGCAGGGGGTAGTTGGCGGCGGTGCCGCGTGTGCGTGTCTGTGTGTGCGTGTGCGTGTGCGTGCGCTCAGGGGATGGCAGAGCTGATGCTACTTGAGCTGAGCTTGCTTATCAGAATCGCTTGGGATCCGCTTAACTGGAAAATCTGGTTTGAGGAGGCCGCGGGGGCCCAGAGGTTCGCGGGGAAGCCTCGCGTGTCCCCTTCCCCCCGGCGAGGAGCACCTCCGCGGGGCGCGCGAGTCCCTGGCGCAGCTCCCGGCGCGCCCCAGCTTGGCCCTGGGGAGGGCAGGGGCTAGTGTAGCCATCCCTCCGGCAGATCGGAATGACCGAGTGGAGCCGGCGTCACCCCCTGCTCCCCGGGATTCTCTGGCCACTTTCCTCGCCCAGAGAGAAACATGCGCTGCTTTATTTATGGGCAGAGATGCCCTGGCCGCTGGGCGATCTCGAGGCGAGCAAGCCGCCGGTGTCTCCGCCCCGCGCCGGTGTGCGATCCGCCCGCGGTGGCTCGAGCCGGGTAAACAACGGCGAGGGCGCCGCCGCCTCCCCCAGGACCCCCGCCGCCTGCTGCGCCGCTTTCCTGGGTGGATTACTCATTAGGAAGTGGAAGGCTCCTTGCGCCTCTGACTTCACACCCTTCCAGCCAGCTGCTGGGGAAATGAGGCGACGCGCAGACCCTGGCAGGAAGGGAAAACTGCCTCCTGCGTTCGGCGGTCTGCTAATTCAGTGTCATGTGGGCCAGCAAAACTAGTTAAAGAATGCCGGTTTAGCATCCACAGGCTCTCCTTTAGTAATTTTTCATTTGGAGAATGTTCTTTATTTCCCTATGAGATTAAACAGAATTTAGCCAGATTTCCCTGGTACATTTTTCAGTCTGCGATGGTACTAAATGACCTGGAGCTCCTAGCGCCCAGTTTGTCTGCAGGTGGATTACACATGGAATTGCCAGCTCTTCTATAGTATCACCCAGAGAGGTTTTCACATAATTTGTGTAGAAGTTAAAAGGAAATTTGCCTTGAAATATCTCTCAGCTTTGTTTCACACTTTTTTTTTTTTTTGGTAACCAGAGCAAGGGTTAACAGTGTACAAAGATAAACAGTTTTTAAAAAGTTGAAACTGCTTTTTTAGTTTCAATAATTAAAAGATTAAATTCCTTAGTTGTAGATTAGCTCTGACTGCTTTGTTGTTTGTTGCAAGTGGCTCTGTTCTGTTTTGTTTTAAAAATGTAGTACTGTAAATATAAAAGGGTACTTTGTTTCTAGATACCAGAATTTCTGCATTTTTTTCTTTTTAAGATCTTCACTTCTTGAAAAAACTTAGGTTTCAAAAAAAAATAAAATAAAAAAAGGAATACAGAATCACTGATGCCTGATTTTCATTGTTGTATTTTTATGAGGTATTGCTAGTGGTGGTCATCTTAAAATAAAACTTAGAGAACTGTGATTCAATTCACAGAAATCTAACTTCATATATTTGTTTCATTTCTAGAGGGCATGTGTTAAAGTCTTTACACTTGCAGATATTTCTGCACATTAAAGAATACTTGTCCTCTCATTTTAGAAGATCTAATCGCCATGATTCCAAGTCCTTACATTAGAAGATTTGATCAGATCTGTTCTTTGTTTCCTAGCAGCATGTCTCCTAGCAGTCGTACATTCCACAGGTCCTGATGTCATTAGGACTGTGTCTGTCAGTGTACTGTGCTGTCCTTAGCTGAAGGTGAATGTGTCCGAGTGCTTGAATGCCATCCCATAGCACTTCTTTATCTCTAAATACCCAGTAACCTGCTCCATTGGTGTATATGGTTAACTGGACTATTTCTGTGAACTCCGGGTAAAAGGAATGATTAATACCAAGGTTTATGTGAACTATTTAAATCTTTTAGATAGGCATGTTAGGTCGCATCAGGCATCCCTGGCCTGAAGAGTGATAAGCCAACATGTGATTTGTCCGATGGGTAAATGCTTCTAATGTCTCATTTTAAGTTGTTTGTTCTGATTATCCTTCAGATTTGAGAGCTCTGCTCAAAATATGAATGGAGGGTCTTTTAGAAATGATTTTCTTTATAATGATCTTACATTTTGGAGACTTAACTATTCCTTTTCACTGGGACTGATGGTATGAGATTTACTGGCTCCAGCTACTGTGCCTGGCATTGTTTCTGGTAATTAGGAAAGGCACAGTTCTGATTCCTTGGTTAGCTATAGCCAAGGAAATCCTAAGTAGAAAATTCAAAAAGCTTATACAGTCAAAAGGATTGAAGTTAGTCAAGTAATGCACACAATGCTGAACTGAATTGTTTTTCAGATTTCATTTGTACCGCTTTAATTGCTGGTTTAAACTGTCTTTGAAAAGGGCTTCCAAGTAGGAGTGACAGTTACTGCTAGAAGTGGGGCATTTTTGCCCAGAATTAGGAAAGCTGGTTGTGATTTTTGTATGTAAGAACAAAGAGTGATCTTGAGAAGTGCTCTACAGCCTTAATTTCGCATGGTATGGCTAGAGCAGTGGGACTTAGAGGGAGATGCTCTTTCCTTAAATTTTGCAAATGGCTATTTTCCCTTTGCTTTCTTAGATTTGTATTACATTCAAAATAGGCACTAGCTCACACAGACAGAAGCCGTATTGTAATTCAGCATTTGTTTGCCTTCAAGGACATATTTATGCTTAGATTACTATTGCATTGATGCCTTTTTCTTTTATGCAAATGCATTTCTTTATGGAATACCCTATTTTATAATAAAATGCAGAACATTCAAATATGAGTAAGGTTCTTCTGACATTTCCCCTTTGTTATTATGTGTGTGTGTGTGTGTGTGGTTAGGGAGCTGTTCATCAGTGGGGAGAGAGAAACAGATTTTTTGTTCATTGTGATTTTGATATTGATCTTTATTAGCCAGTTTGAGAAAGTAGGTAAGTATGCCTCTTGCTATCAATTATGAGTCCTAAGATGTATGTATTTTCCCCAATCATTTAATGTCATTACCCTGGTCTGAGTGTCTATGTGGCCCAATTAAAAGAACCCTACTACTGCATAGACAGCCAGGTGTAATTTTTTTTTTAGGATTGTGAAGTGTGTTCATGTATTCATAAATACAAAATACATTAAATATTAGCTGCCCTACTCTGAATTAACAGCGAACTAACTTCACTGTTTTTAGGGAGTGGGTGAAAGGGTGAGAGTTCCTCCTATATTTGATCATGACAGATTCTGTTGATGTTAATAACTTATGTCTTGTTCATATCTCGTTAACACTGAAAATAATTTAATATTAACAAATTTCTTCATAAGAGTGACTGCATGTATTAGAAGTTAACATTTGGTCCATATCATTCAAGAATTTAAATTGAATATTGTTAGTGATAATGTTATTTATTATGAAAATTATCTTTGGGATGGAAAAATAAATCACCCAACTGAATATTTATGCCTGATAAAACTTCT